CTTTCCAACTATCCCAAGACGGCCAAACGCTGGTCAATATTCCACGCACTAACCGTATGTGGTCAATATCAATGGTTTGGCCGGAATGTTATCCTGTTTCATATGAATTCTGACATTGCAATATATGTATATCATTTTACGTTGATAGAAAAGTGACTTCTACATCAAACAACAATGAATGATGTTTGAATATGTTAATGGCCATTTTTTTATATTTAAATACATTGCCTGCACGCCTTGTTGCCTTGTATAGATCGTACTGTCTGAAAATGTAAATTTATCACATTACCTGTTTTGTGGTGGGGAGAATGCAAAGCAAGCGCAATTATTGACCAATAATTACATGATTTTTCTAAATATTCTAATGCTCACAAAGAATTCTTGATAATTTCTTGATGGTAGTTAAAACTAGGTTACAACTGGTTGTGCTAACCGTACACCTATATCTAACAGTAACACGACAGCCACGTCGACAGAGGCAGGGTCCGATAATTCAGTGTCATAATTGAACTGATATTGATGGAAATCAACATCGAGTGTGTTTAGAATTCATTTCCTTGTATAAACCTCAAACAAGCATGTATAAATGACTCCATCGCCCCGCCCATTAACAAATAGGTCTGTGTTTTGTTTTAGTTTTTTTTTTCTTGTTTTATATTCCAAAGTTGAGGAATTGAAACGGGCGTTTTCTTTGTAGTAAATGTTCTTCGTGCGCGTACTTTTTTTTTCAAAGCACCGTCAAATTTTTGACAACTTATAAACACATCGACGTCAGTGACTAATCATTATTATCTTTATGAAATTTATTCTGACATGGACGCCGGATCACGTGATGAAATAGAATATCGTTAATATAAAAAAATATATAATTGTCTAAAAATACAACGTGCAAGTTTTGTAGCTCACAGAAGTTTTACATATAAGTAACAATTATCAATGTGTTTAAACAAAAAATCGATTAGAGATCGAATGTAATATTGATTGAGTTGGAGCTTGTGAAATACATTCCTTAAATATGCTGCTGTCCTAACAAATTCTTAAAGCAAACTTTTCTGAGTCTCCAGATTTTCAGCCTTACCCTTAGCATATCGAAAACAAACACCCAGTTGTATTTAAGCCTCTTGTGAATGAATTCAGTATTCAAATGAATCTGATAACAGTTATCAGTTTCCTTCACCTAACTTTAACCATACATCTCATTCTTCCATCGGGGGATGTATTCTCGTCCAGGCCATTTTGTTTTTAAGAGTAGACACTATATAAGTACTTTTTGAAATGATTGGTCCGCCAATTCATAATTTTTACAGGACGTGAACAAAAACATGTTTAAAATTAGTGACAAAAACATTGCGTCTATATCCTTGGCGTCACCATCTTGTCAATATAACCGAGGTGACACTTTCTTGTCCATACATCCTTGGCGTCACCATCTTGTCAATATAACCGAGGTGTCACTATCTTGTCCATAAATCTTTGGTGTCATTGTTTTGTTCATACCTGCACTTTGTCACCAACTTGTCCACATATCCTTAGTGTCATCATCTTGTCCACACATCCTTACAGTCATCATCTTGTCCATATATCCTTAGTGTCATCATCTTGTCCACATATCCTTAGTGTCATCATCTTGTCCACATATCCTTACAGTCATCATCTTGTCCACATATCCTTACAGTCATGATCTTGTCCACATATCCTTAGTGTCATCATCTTGTCCTCATATCTTACAGTTATTATCTTGTCCACACATCCTTATAGTCATCATCTTGTCCACATATCCTTACAGTCATCATCTTGTCCACACATCCTTACAGTCATCATCTTGTCCACACATCCTTACAGTCATCATCTTGTCCACATATCCTTACAGTCATCATCTTGTCCACATATCCTTACAGTCATCATCTTGTCCACATATCCTTAGTGTCATCATCTTGTCCACATATCCTTACAGTCATCATCTTGTCCACACATCCTTACAGTCACCATCTTGTCCACACATCCTTACAGTCATCATCTTGTCCACATATCCTTACAGTCATCATCTTGTCCACACATCCTTACAGTCATCATCTTGTCCACATATCCTTACATCATCTTGTCCACACATCCTTACAGTCATCATCTTGTCCACACATCCTTACAGTCCACACATCCTTACAGTCATCATCTTGTCCACATATCCTTACAGTCATCATCTTGTCCACATATCCTTACAGTCATCATCTTGTCCACATATCCTTACAGTCATCATCTTGTCCACATATCCTTACAGTCATCATCTTGTCCTCACATCCATAGTCATCATCTTGTCCACACATCCTTACAGTCATCTTGTCCACACATCCTTACAGTCATCATCTTGTCCACACATCCTTACAGTCATCATCTTGTCCACACATCCTTACAGTCATCATCTTGTCCACATATCCTTACAGTCATCATCTTGTCCACACATCCATAGTCATCATCTTGTCCACACATCCTTACAGTCATCATCTTGTCCACACATCCTTACAGTCATCATCTTGTCCACACATCCTTACAGTCATGATCTTGTCCACACATCCTTACAGTCATCATCTTGTCCATATATCCTTACAGTCATCATCTTGTCCACACATCATCTCATCATCTTGTCCACATATCAGGACTTACATCCTTACACATCCTTACAGTCATCATCTTGTCCACACATCCAGTCATCATCTTGTCCACATATCCTTAGTGTCATCATCTTGTCCACACATCCCTACAGTCATCATCTTGTCCACATATCCTTAGTGTCATCATCTTGTCCACATATCCTTACAGTCATCATCTTGTCCACATATCCTTACAGTCATCATCTTGTCCACATATCCTTACAGTCATCATCTTGTCCACATATCCTTACAGTCATCATCTTGTCCACACATCCTTACAGTCATCATCTTGTCCACACATCCTTACAGTCATCATCTTGTCCACATATCCTTATAGTCATCATCTTGTCCACAAATCCTTATAGTCATCATCTTGTCCACATATCCTTACAGTCATCATCTTGTCCACATATCCTTACAGTCATCATCTTGTCCACATATCCTTACAGTCATCATCTTGTCCACATATCCTTAGTGTCATCATCTTGTCCACATATCCTTATAGTCATCATCTTGTCCACACATCCTTACAGTCATCATCTTGTCCACATATCCTTAGTGTCATCATCTTGTCCACATATCCTTAGTGTCATCATCTTGTCCACATATCCTTAGTGTCATCATCTTGTCCACATATCCTTACAGTCATCATCTTGTCCACATATCCTTAGTGTCATCATCTTGTCCACATATCCTTAGTGTCATCATCTTGTCCACATATCCTTAGTGTCATCATCTTGTCCACATATACTTACAGTCATCATCTTGTCCACATATCCTTACAGTCATCATCTTGTCATCATCTAGTCCACATATACAAAGTGTCATCATCTTGTCCACATATCCTTACAGTCATCATCTTGTCCACATATCCTTAGTGTCATCATCTTGTCCACATATCCTTACAGTCATCATCTTGTCCACATATCCTTAGTGTCATCATCTTGTCCACATATCCTTATAGTCATCATCTTGTCATCATCTTCTTGTCCACATATCCTTAGTGTCCACATCATCCTTATCATCTTGTCATCATCTTGTCCACATATCCTTAGTCATCATCTTGTCCTCATATCCTTACAGTTATTATCTTGTCCACATATCCTTAGTGTCATCATCTTGTCCACATATCCTTACAGTCACCATCTTGTCCACATATCCTTACAGTCATCATCTTGTCCACACATCCTTACAGTCATCATCTTGTCCACACATCCCTACAGTCATCATCTTGTCCACATATCCTTAGTGTCATCATCCTGTCCACACATCATGTCAATAATGTATACCAATTTTCATACCTGTATGATGTATTTTCACGGAATTCATCATTAAAACAAACTTTCAATATTTATAAAGTATAGCAGACTATATTGTGAATATTGATGCAAACTTAAGATATAGAAATCAAAAAATTTAGTAGCTGCGAAAGGAATCTTGTTTCCAATGTATCAATAATCAGAGTCTAAAACAATATCCACCTTTTAGGAAGATTTCATTTTTTTGTTTATGTTCAAGTGGAATTGTACGTATATCACACAATATCGGTAGAAATATGCTTGTTACATCTGTTTGTAACTATAAAACCGGACATTTTCCTTTATCACTTGTTATCATAAATCTTCTTATATCTGATGTATCCAAACTACATGATATGTATCCTTAACACCAAACATCTGATAATGTATATATGTGTATTTAATACTTGTCCTATACTGTTACCAATACACCTGACAACAAAAATTGTATACATGATTGTGTTCCCTATTTCTTTCTTTACGAAACCTCTGTATCATAAGAATCCTTCAAATATCGTCTTCTCCATCCTCAACCTACACCACCTAAAAAGTATCGGGAAATTCATTCTTAAACAATACCGACATAACAAAGGGAAAAAAAATAATCCAATCTCCTGATCCGTAACAGCCCTGCTCCTTGTCTTTCCTGCATTAATCCCAAGGTGTTACCATATAACTTTGGACCCTCAAAAATTGCGAAAAGACACCAGTGATTAGCAACTTTTATCATAATTTAGAATTAGATACAGTAGTGCAAATAAACTGAATCATACAGCTGTTCCATCCTTCAAGGACTCATCAGTGATGTTGTGGACCTGATTTTTAAAACCTAGGAGGTGACCGAGTTCAAAAATTAGAAGGAAAGACTAATCCGGGGAAAATGTTATAATATTTGTGGAGATTTCTTCTGAAACTGTAAAACATGTGTTGGCTTATTACTAGGTATGGGCTTTTTGTAGGATAAATATGGTAAACTATACACTGTTGCCTGTGTACTGACCTTCAGCTGTGTCTAATACTGCTAACACTTGTCATTTTCTACATAAAAACACTGAAATTTATTAGGTTTCATGAATAATTTATTTACTTTCATTCTTACTCACAAATAGCAAATGAAATTTTTGATGACAAATATGATCATTCATATACATATCCATATGAGTAATGCATCGTAAGGGCTTTTCAAGTAAAACATCTATCTCACATAGGGACTCAAGATTTCGTTCAGTTGTATCACCCATAAAATTTACTCAATAATTTGATAAGAAGTAATAGACAGGAAACTGAACCATGGATAGGAAAATTTAACTTTGGAGTCCTATGGTTAAATAGATGGTTTACTGGAACCTTTTTAAATGACAAATCTACATTTATCCTTTCTATCTGCAACACTGACCAGTACCATGATATCATAAACATCAATAAAATCTTTGCACTTGAATTCAAATCTAAGGTTACAGAATCATGACAAAGACATTTTCATTACGACACAAATATATAAAGATATCTGCAACAAATGTTAGGTAGAAGAGGAATGCCTTCATTTCCATCCTGGCTGTTGCTGATTCCTGTTTTCATGTGTCAGACATTATATGTATCCATGTCCAAATCACTGTATACAGGCCATGGGGTAAGTATAGTCAAACATGTACTGTATATAGCCTTAAAACAGTGTAATCTTGTTTTTAATCATCACAAAATTTATAATCTAAGTTATAAACTCTATCTTTTCAATTAATGAAAAAGTACATGGTATATTTTGTAGCATCAATATAATACATTCTCTCTCATTTTCAAATATCCAGACAAAGACAACTGTAATGAAACTCTACGCTTCAACGACAGTAAACACAGAAACTAACACCACTTACAAATGTTATCTCTGAAATAGTTAGAATGATTCCTGATTTCAAACTTGCAAAAATCTTCTTTTTTTTAAAATGTTTCCTTTAACCAGATCTCTGAAGGAATTTTAAAGAAAGATCTAGCCACAGTACTCTGAAAGTGCCTGGTATATGTAAGTGTTTTTTTTGTGGTGATTCCTGTCATTTTTTTCCCTGAACTCTCAGAAGAAAGCAGGAGAGATTTTACAAAGATATTATCACTTTATCAAACATTACATCGGAACATCTGCTGATTAGCATTTATATATTCAAATCCTACAAATATGTACTTTGAGAAATATCAATTTTATACCACTTTATCAAAAAAGACAAATAGCATATAATTTGTATCAGCCCCTGTAACCCAGCACCCCAAATAAAGTGTAGTTGTATCACACAATGACTTCTCCTTGCTGTCGCCATGGGAAACCAATGTTATACTAAAATGTTCAGGTTGCCAAGGCAATGCAAATGCTGCAAGTAAACTGTCAAATTTTACCTTCCCCAGCATGTAAACTTATCTGCAGTCCATGATCAAGAAAACGATAAAAATATTTTTGTCCATCATTTCAGTAATGACCATTTTATCTGTTCTTTAGCACTTTGAAGAACCTGCAAAAAATGAAAAGAAGATTAGGTGGCTATCAACAATAACAGTGTGCAGGAGTGAGATTAACTCCCACACAGGTACACAGTAAGATCCATGACAGAGAAAACTCTTATCTTGGGTAGGCATATAACAGAAGTTTAAAGTTTTTGTAAACTGATAAAAAACTTGTTTTTTTTTTGTTGAACGCTTAGAGAGAGCTGTATTTAGATACAGTATATGGGTGTTTTATGGGTATGATATGCTGTTGTCTGTTATACTATAATATTGAGTAACACTTAAAAACCAGGTTCTATTCAACATCAGTTTCAGTGACCAAATACAGCTACTCAAACAAATTTATTACATTTCTTGATAACACTGGATTTTATTCAGAAATAGGGATTTTTTTTTGACATATATGCTAACGAAATCTTTGAAATAGCATTCTGTTTTTCTATCATCAAGTTTTTCTCTGTTTCTTGTTGGAGCAACTTTGATCCTGCTGTACCAAACATATAAACACACAACAGACCTTTGCCCACAAAATCTAGGCTACAATAACATGCAATGCCACAACCACAGTGGACGAAGGGAGATAATCCTTAACTCCTGCTCCAGTACATAAGACAAAGACACCAAAAGGAGATTGGTGAATGTAATTTATTATTGAAAACACTACAAATATTTGCATATCTTAACATCACAGAAGCAATATGAACGTGTTTGAAGTTCCTGTATCTTCACCAGGACGATATGAGATCAGTATTACAAATAAGACACAACCAGAAAGCATAATATACCATGACCTAACATTAATCAGTCTACCGCACTAAAAAACCATTTGAATTAAGAACTGTTGTCCTATGACAGGAGCTAATACAATAAACAATCAATCAAACAAGGCTAAACTTTTAATAGAATTTCATAAACGGAAAACTCACTCATAACCCATTCACATAAACAATGTATTTGCCACTATTGCATGAACTTTGTTTTTTTAATAAGCCCAATCCCCCCCACTTCCTAAAACTATCCTGTTTTCTGATCAATTTCAAAATTGATTTGGTATTTTTAGGAACCAAGGCAAATCAAAACAAGAAATTTGAGAAATTTTATTCTCTTTTTTTCCCATTGATCTCAAAATGGAGCAGGCACCACTAGAAACCAAGGCAGACCTACATTGAAATCAGTCCACAAATTTAGGACAGGCTGATTCCAGTACATGTATTATATCCCACTTCAGTCCCCTACAAACCTAGATTATTCAGAATTATATGCAGACTTTTTTTTCCATTCCCACTTGAGTTTCGCAAGGCACTCCACCAGTTTTAGTTTTACCATATTTGTGATTTATTTTTTTCAATTCAGACAATAATAAATTAACCAAATGTACATAGGAAATAATGACCTGTATATCATTATAGTACAACTATATACCAAATTACAGTTCTATATATCTGTATCGGCTGAAGAGTAAATGAGCAGAAACAATATTATGATAGAATGACAGCCACAGGTAATACTGTATGCCCAGACCCAGAGTTTTCCCTGGGACCCTCAAATTTATGACTAACATAACATATGAAATAGAATAAAACTTAATTGATTTTGTGGGTCCTTTACCAATTTAAGGAGTCAAAATGAAGGATTTTGAAGGTCAGGGAAAAGTCTGCCGGTCGTAAAATGGTTTGGCTTTAAAAAATGTTCTTGTGTCGACATAATTATGAACATGTTTACAAGGTGATAAGCAGTTCTTTGATAGTATGTTATTTATCAGGCTAGTACAATAACCCAGATGAACATTACTGCAGATATTTAGGGACAAATGAAATGAATAAACAGTGGAATATGTGTTTATAAGCTAACACAAAACACCACATACATGTACAAATGCATGTATTTGTATGGGAAAGTGAAAGTAGACGCTATGACCCACTTAACCAGAAGACTTTCATTTTACTCACCTCCAGCTTTTTAGTGAGTTGCTTTAACACAAAAAAATCAAACCATGCACATATTAACAACACTTAAGTATAGGCAGCAGAACTTCAAACTTCTTTGAAATTTTCCTGTAAATTTTTTGTTAAAAAATGATAAAAAATGATATGTACACTTTGAAGGACCTTGATTGTGGGGTTTTTCAAATAATTTCAATTTGTTATATGCATGTTGCTATCTGCATGTTTCTCTCTAACCAATGAAAAGAATGTTAATCCATTTGTGTGATGTTATGACACATGATTGATATTTTGTGAACACATAATGCATATCTATAGTACACACAGGAACATCTTAATATTTTCTTAATCCTCTCACCATTTTAGACCGAAACACTCTTTCTAAAACACTTATTCCATTAACATATCTGTTTCAAACCTAGAGTCCAAAGCCTTGTTTAGCAGCCCAACCCATAGAATCTAATGAATCATGTCTTTAACATATTTGTCCTTTCAATATACCCATGTCCTAAGTATTGTAAAAAAATGAGTAAAAGCATTATTGTGATGTTTTAAGTAAATATAAGACGATTGTCTTGACAATGGCAAAAAGTCCTATCTTGGTCCAAATTTTCCTTTTTTATAACAAAATTAATGGAACTGATTTCATTTAATTGATAATGAAAATAACTTAAGTGATGAACAGAATCTAATACTCAGTCCATGTTATAATTTACAAAACTGACCTAATTATTTGATAAAATACTTGCTTAAAGGTGGATATCTTGTGACTGAACTTGTTTAATGATTTAATACATCAAAGTAAAATCCTTCATCATTGTTGTACACATAAATAAGAGGCTTAAATCTCCCCAGTAGATAGGTTTTATTTTTTAGTCCTGCGTTTCTTAGATTTTCTTTTTACCAGATCTATAGTACCATAAAAAATATGAATGGGTGATTGTGAAATTAAAGCCATCCACTAGTAATTCTTGTGTTAATTACTTTTTTGATGGAACTTACAATGGCCAAATGTGTTCCTACAGGAACAGAGGTTACTCTATACAATGTAAGGAAATTGCACCAGTTGTTGCCATACTTCAAAACCTTTCCCCAAAATCAATACACACTTATAATTGTAACATGTCATAATCAGTAAATGATTACACTGTACTTGTCCAGCATTATCCCTAAATATTCCAGATGAACACTGTTTGGAAATTCCTGAAATATCAGCAAGAGTTATGTCCCTTCAAGTACAGAAGATTTGGTTTTTTCTAAAATGATGCTGTGTACTGGTGGAGTTCCTAATTTCACTTGAGTGTCATGATAACTGAAAAAATTCTTTTTGTTGACAGCAATTTGGAACCTAGACATACCATTTGAGCTCATGTGCACATATTGCAAATGATGTGATCAAAGGACATCATAATAACATCATCATACATTGCATCTAACCTGCTCCATTTGAACATTATGATGTTTTATATTGTCTATCATAATCTATAATGGCATGCAAGTAAATCTACTCCATCCATAATTGGTGAGAAAAGCACTTGACTGTATCTACACTCCCCATCTCCTCCAAATCATATCTGTATTCTGATCACTGTTTCAGTTGTCCAAACACTTTATGTTGCTCATCTGAACACCGTAATAGTGTTTTTCTAGAAACAAAAGACCAACTAAGGCTTTGCACAACATATATATTACATGTAGGGGGAAAGCAAGTGCTACAAATAATCTGATAAGTAGCTGTATCTATAGTAGTAAGTTTTACCTGTGCCACGGTTTGTTCTCCCAGGGGTATATCATCTGTCCTGATTGCTACCTTCTGTACTATTGACATGGAGTCAGCATCTAAGATTATCCTGTCAGAAAGAAATAATAGATTTATAACCTCATTGTTCAGAAAATATTTCAAACATAAAACATTTGAAATTTCAAGGTGTCTGGCAATAAGCGCGGGGGGGGGACATATAAAATATGACTCAAAGGCTCATTGCCAGACTACAGAATAGCACTTGTCTGTAATTCTACTGAACTGCAAAAATTATGGATGGATTTATTACCAGAAATGGATCTACTGCCAGATAAATATGGTAAAAAACATTCATGAATATAAATCATCTCAATATTTTTGTGGTTGTATTAAGAAAAATTTAAGTAGATTTGTATATAGTAAAACTGTATTCGCTTCTTTTACAAGGGGACAAATATTTAAATAGAGTTGCTCATCAAGATAAATACAGTAACTGGAAAGTTATGCTTACCCGCCATCACAGATCTCATCAACAGCTAAATATACTGCATCCAAGTTCTCAAACAATGCCCTCTTCTCCACATTTTTACGAAGGATTTGGTTGACAGCATCATACAAGGCATTGAGAACACTTGCTAAAATCAGCTAAAATTATAAATCAGCAAATTATTATTTAAATCATATCATCACTATGCAAATAATAATATCTTTTGGATCAATCTTATATATCCAACTTTTTACTATTGTAATATACATATGACAGATGAGTCACCTTGCCATATTAAGCCAGAAAATAAAATAAAATATTACAATCATTTCATATTAAAGGTAGATAGGTATTTTTTCATACAGTTTACCCTTGTTATATCACCATCTTTGGTCCACACCTAATTTGGCCATACTCTGAGGTTAGCGATAGTATCGAAATTTGACAAATTACAATGATGTACAAGATAAAAAGATCTCTCATTTCATAAAAGGCAAAATACTAATGTACATCACTCATCTGCAGTTATATTTACAATACTGTCACACAAAACCAGACCATCTAATGTGCTTACAGCTGATGTGTTTTTGGCAGTCTTTTTGCACAAGATGTTTTCTACTTGGAGTCTCCATCATGAATAGCAAAGCCAAACTTTATTTTTACCTTCACTATTACTAGCCAAACACTGACATGCAGGTGTACAACACAATATGGGTACATAGCATGTACCTACAGGCATTGATCTGTTCAGTAAACAAAATCGGGGAAGCCCCATATATCTATATACAAAACATTAAGAGAATTCCACAACGCCCAGAAATAGTGATAAGATCAAGGGAAATATGCAGTGGTTTAAAACTTCTGTGTTTTAAAGCACTTGGCAAATGGCAGTATGCAAGGATGGTGAACTTATCTAGGGAATTGTAGTGAGGAAATTTGTTCTAAGGGTTTTAGTTGGCAATATGAGATGGTGGCAGTAGTAATGGGTGGTGAAAGGTAGAGGGAAAACTGTATATGTATATTTATAAAGTTTATTAATATTTATATAAGAAGGTGATCATGATCTAACCTTTTTGAAAACTACCCACAAATGTTAAGAGCTAATACAAAAAATTACATAGGAGCAGAATGGAAACACGTAACTTTTTTCTTCCTTATATGTAATAACTCATGATTAATGTCCTGCTTACCTCATTTTCTTGTGAGCTACCCACAACATAGAAAAATAGATCAACATTGCTCTTGTAAACACATGTAAGTCCTTCAAACATTATAATTTCCGCTGAAAAAAATAATCAAAATTAAAAGAAAAAGGAAAATTTTAAAAAGCTCTATCATTTGTCTTAATTACAAAATACATAATAATAGAAACCTCTTTTTAGGAGGCAAATAAAGTATTTTAACTCTAATTTCAAATAAACACTCCATTTAATGGTAAACTTGACCAGAAGAAATTCAGATTTCCATGTCTTTCTATAAACAATGTATATTCAAAATAATTAACACAAATTTTGATATCTTAAGGACAAATTAACTAATCAAATTGAATTTCAACTTACAATTAGCTCTGTGTGTTTTGTTGAATAAATTCTTCTCAAACTGTTTTTGTTCCTTTGCTGTAGAGAATTGGTCATCGTAATACTTAAAAAATAAAAAAGGCACAAAATATTAATTATTTATTAACACAGCTACCTTGTCATTCTCTGAATACACTTGGTACTGGCTAAATCATGTAATCATATGCCATAGAAATTGAATAATATTGATATGATGTAATAAACTTCCATATCATATGTATATTTATCATAGCATTATCGTATGCTGATAATAGAGAGAAAAAGGGGTTGAATCATGGTGGCAGTATTTTACACTTAAAGAATTTTAAACTTGTTTCAAGTTCATGTTTGCTTAATTTAATTTTAGCTCATAAAAGTCAATACAAAAATAAAAGCATTTCAGACTTCTGACAAAAATTTTAAACATGTAAAACAAAATTCCTTTAGATCACACAAAACTATTTTATCAAATGATCTCTGACCCTCTGGCATGATAGCAATATGATCAGACTGGTAGAATAAACATGGAAAGAGGAAAATATGTCAATTTTCTTCAACCAGTGGGCAAGACATATATCCAACAATATGTTCGATTTTTATACAGAACTGTAAAAAATGTAAAACTTACCTTAGCAAGCATACGGTTGCCATCATTATCTAGGATGGCCATCGCCTTCACTGTGTACAAAGAAGGTTCCTGTGGAAAAGAAGAAATTAACACATGTAAAGTCAAAGCAATTTTCAAATAAAAGGCTGTAATGACTACAAAGCAGTTTTTTATCAATATACTGTCCTGTCATTTTAATATCAGGACTACTATAATTAAGAACCAGCTGCACTGCTAACAAGATATCCCTGATTGAGGTATCTCAGTGTCACCTGCCATCTGCAGTCAGATGATTCCTTTATTTAGGGATATGTCATTAGACAAAACTTTTCCCCCAATTTGGGTCTAGAAAAAAATAAACTCCAGTGTAAAACATTAAGTAACTAGAAGTCATGGACTGGAAGTCAAAATGGAACACCTATATGCCACATTTTGGTAGTACTGGTTATATGCTCGAGATCAAAAACCTTCATTATAAATAACATAGCACTTAGATGATGTTACAAGGGAGATAAAATCTTCCTTTTCTTTTGACGTCAGTTTTGACTTTGACACATGTATGGTTGTGGTGAGACAGGTAAACATATACATGAACAGTTAAATTTGTCTCTAAACTGATGTCATAAAATTTCCTCATATAACATCATCACATACAACACCATCAGACCAGATTTGTAATGCAATGTACAAAACGGCATCTGTTAGATACAGATTGGTCACCTTGCTTCACTTCTACAAATCAAACTCTGCCTGAACTAACCAAATATTCATGCCCCATGTATGATCGGTTTGAAGAAGCTCCACTGACTCTAAATCAGAATTTTAGTCCGAGTACAAAAAATGTGTGAGGGGGGGGGATATGCCGGTTGGCACCGAATGTGCAATGTTTAATCACATAACCCTGTGTATCGGCATGTATAACAGTAATTCGTAAGTTAATACAAAAGTATCTTTGGCTGGTTTATATCAAGAGTATTTTTTCACAGTGTAAGAGTATACTGATTCCTTACCAGAATACCACCGTCCATGGTTGCAAGTTGACTTGACGTGGAAGTGCTCGTCAATGTTAATCAAGCGCACGCTTGGTGATCCCTCAAGCACAAACACTGAAACGACTAGGATTTAAAAGCATGAAATTTATGTTATTTTGCTTAAAATAGACTAAATTAAGCCAATAAGGCCACATAAATATAGATTTATTAATTATTTGCGTATCATTGTTTTGAATTTTGTATTCTTCGATTTTATTTACCGAGAAAAATATTCGCTGCGGAACTGCTCACGCCAAATTTGTCCAAGATGGCGGTCCAAAGAAAGAAAGACGGATCTCCTAATGTTAAATTTTACGAGGCCGTAGAAACAATAGCACAGTTCGATTCCGTCAGAACATGGCTTCATAAAAATTGCAAGAAGGTAGGTTTATCCCTTGATACATATCATGGAAACTGCTGTTGATTACATCGTCAATTCTCGATATGAAACTTTGCCGGCATCTCTTTGTTTCGAATTTTTGCAGTCAGTTGCTCTGTACTGTCAGTTATGACAATAATTAGTACTGTTGCGATATGTATTTAATGTTGGCCAAAAAATTTAATGCATTCTGGATGTATTTTACATGGTTAACTATTTGATATGTAATGTGTATCGCTACAATAATTCCATGTTTGAAGCAACGAACCGGAGATGTGGACGAGTTGTCTTGTCTTTCACGAGTCGTCCAACAACAACATTCGGTCCTCAACTACATTATTGTATTTTTCAGTACACGCAAGCAGACCCACCTACCAATAAAAGTTTGGCCAACCTTGTCATCCAGTTGCTACAGTTTCAAGAAGATGCTTTTGGAAAATCTGTCAGCAACTCCGCTCTCACAAAGTTACCTGTACGAGTTTATTTTATTTCGCTTTCTGATTTGAAAAGGAGGAGTAGATTTATCACATCTTAATGACATTTATTGGCATTGGATATTTTTTTCTGAACCTGACAGGCTTGTTTGTTAAATTGTTTTAGCAGATCAGTTGTCTTTAAGTGTTTTCATTTAAGCCATCCATAGTTAGATTTTATAGAAGTTCTAAATTTTGAAGAAGGATTTCTGCTTAGTTTCTGCACATGTGTTATCTTTAGGGCTTACTTGAGAGTGCTTCTTTGAAAAATGATGAAAAGGTTAGAGTAGGCATGAAATATTAAGGTAGGTCCAACCAATGAGGACAACTGGAAGTTACTTCAGTTCCAATTTTGATTTTATGAGAATGGAAGATGTCAGATAATTTATAAATTCAAAGTGTCAATATGTTTTAATAAATAAGAATTTTATGTCATTATTACTAGGAACATTTTTCCTTCTTTTTAATAAAATGCAGTCATACCAACTGAAGTGCTATGTTCATTTTGGAATAATTTTCTTTCCTTTTTTTTCAGATGAAATGTTTCTTAGATTTTAAAGCTGGTGGAGCTTTGTGCCATATCATTGCTGCAGTTTATAAGTTCAAAAGTGATCAAGGATGGTAAGTCTGATCTAGAATGGTACCTAGGGTGATGAAATACTGTTTGGCTGTTAAAATTATTTGTAACACAATACCTATAATCAATACTTGATATTATACATGGGTTTTCGACCAGAAAGACTTTCATACATGAAATAACGACGAATATGAAAATGTAAAAATTCAGATATTGGAATATTTTCAGACTTTTAGAGAAAATGATATCCATTGCAAAGTAAAAAAAAAAGAAGTCTCAACAACTGATATATGTAGGTTGTAGAGGTTTTCTGGAACAGCTGTAATAACACATGTTTATATCATATGTTCTCTTTTATTTAGGGTTTTCTCTTTCTTTTTTTTTTCTCTAACAGGAGAAGATTCGACTTTCAGTCACCATCACGAATGGACAGGAATGTTGAAATGTTCTTGCAGATTGAAAAGTCGCTTGTACAAAACAAGTGTTTGACTATGCCCTGTATATTCCTACAGCCCGACATTGACAAATCTCTAATGCCAAAATTAAGGGACATCATAAAACGTCATCAAGGCACACTGGCTGAGGATCCAGAGGATGCCACTCATATCATTCATTCTCTACCTACCAACAGTGATAAGGATGGTAAGGATTTCAGCAAATTTATCTTGTTTAGTGGGTACTGGTAGAGATCTTTCAGTCACTGCTGAATGCCAACAGTTTTGAGATATCTTTGCTTTAGGTGAGGATTTGTGAATGAATTACATCCAATTGTTTACCATGGAATCTGCATTGTGTTTTTATGAATATTACTTTATTTCTGGTTAAAGGATATTTTTCTGTCAATATTTTTGTTTGTTTCTTGTAATTGAACCTTGTAATTTTTCTTTGTCATTTTGTGAGCCAATATTTCCTCATTTCATGATTCATGTACATTATCCACAAATATCATTTACGAAAATTTACTTCATACTTTGATCTGATACAAATTGTATTGATTAATTTTGTTTTATGTGTAGAAGAGTGGATCCGTCCAGTGATGAAAAGAGACCGACATGCCCTCATCCACTGGTGGTATTTACCAGACAGGTCAGTGTCTAATATAAAGACTAAGATATTTATCACCTTTTCTTTAATCAGTTTGTCTGTTATTTTGGGACACTACTATCTTAACGACTGTGTCAGCATTAACTTATTTTTGGATTTTGTGTTTAAATATTCTAATGATGACAGAGAAGAACACAAAGTAATTTTTCAGTTTTCAAATTGTTAAAAAAATACAATTGTCTGAATGCACTTAATAGAATAAGATGGAAATGATGTAATACAATAACTCAGAATTAAATTTGAAATATAAATCAAAGTATAAGGTTTAACTATTTTCTGTAATTGTGGGTGGTAGTTTGTATGAAGCTGATGAAATATACCATATATACAAATGAGTATGAGATGAACAAAGAGCAATATAAGTATTTTTTAATGGAGAAAGCTGTAATCTCATCAACTAATATTAATTGATAGTTAACAGAGAGGTCAATTGTTCTGTAAGTTTGATTGCTAAATTGGTATGTCTCTGTTACAGTTATGACACATGGGCAATAGATGTCCATGTGGAGGATGACCCTCCAGAGAAGTCACATCATGGACCGTGGGAGGTAAAACTACTGATAAAAATCAAATGTAACACAGATTAAAGCTTAATAAATGTTTTCTACCAAAATCTTATCCATTTTTCTCAAAACGAAATTGATGCAATATAATTGGTTACTCTTAAACATAAGGTTTCAGTTTAATATCAATCTTATCATAAATGATATTATTTGTTCTATTGTTTTGTGAATAACGTGGATTATTTATAATGGTACAGGTAACAGCTAGATGGCTTTTGGATCTTGAGGAATACAACGAGTGGATGAATGAAGAGGATTATGCAGAGGAAGAGGTTGGCACACTTCAAATAAAACATCAATCAATTTTACCTCTGTTTAGTGTTAAGACTTTTTCAAGGATTAGGCTTATGATCAGAAAAATATGATGAAATGACTTTTCATCAGGTTAGAGGTATAGATAACTCAAATCAACACATTTCAGCTGACTAAAGTATTTACATACACTGTAAAGTGACACTGTAGCAGCTACAACAATTATGGTACATTATTTGAAAAAATACTGGACTGTCCGCTTGAGAAATTTAACTTTTTTGCCATTATTTAGTCATTGCTAAAAATTAAACACACAAAAATCCCTGAATGTTCTTTTAATATCTAATGTTAACACAATATGGGTTTATCCACTCTCTTTTCATGAGCTCTTCTCTTTGAGAAATTACCAAGAAGTTCCATCAGCTAATCAAGTGAAAAACTAGAGACAACCAATGATGATTTATATTTTTATTAGCATTTAAGCTAACACCCACGTACATTAAATTTTCTTTTCAGTTTGAAACGAAGAGGAGTAAGAAAACCAAGATAATTAAGATGACTGTAGAAGATGTAAGTGTAATAATTACACCAGACTGTCAATTGACTTTAGAGGAAGTTATCGTGATACCATGGTCATTGCTTACTGAAATACTTAAAAATTGGTCATCTTCTTGAAACGTCTTGTGGAAGCTAAGAAAAACAGGAATGGTCATCAACTAATTGTATAATGAGAATTAATCCTTTTTTTTTCAAAATTATTGTCTATGCATTTGCATGATTTCACCTGCAGAAGTTTCATCGTATGTGTATTTATGAAAATTATTCATTGAACTCGAACACTTTAGTGACTGTAAATTTAGACCATATATATAAAACACCACTTATGCACTGCTAAAAAGTGCTATGAACTAGACTTTCATAATATGGATTGCTATTATTCTTGTTGACATTCAGTTGCTTTTCTTAAATTTATGTAACAAAGAACTACAAATATTTTATGAAAAGACTGAATCAGACTTACATCAAGAGAGTCTCCTTAATTTAAACTTATTAGATATACTATTGGTCTTACAGTTGATTCCTAGTCAGGACAGTGACAGACGAGAAAAACGGGACAAAAAAACCAAGAGGAAACGTTCTCCCTCACCACCAGTTATAGAGAAGAAGAAACGCAAGAGGTTAGTTACTAAAGAAAATAAAAATGTTTTGATTTAATTGCTTGTAGCTTGAAAAGTTCCATGGGATATATATTTGTATATATTGTGTTACTTTTTCTGAATTTGTGCTTCCCAGAATTTTTCAGCAGAGTGATTTACAACAGAACTTAATGCTTTCCTAATTAGTTTCCAATCTTGTTATTTCAATGATAAAAAAAGAAATTTTATTGATAAGGAAAATATCAGGAATGATTAATAGAATACTGAAAAATGTGGTAAAAATTTTCAGTGGGCGAACTTCCACTGCCCCTGGGTCCACAAAAAAGAAAAACACAAGAGATGAAGATGATGAAGACTTAACCAAAGATATGGACAACCCATCACCCGAAACCAACATTCAAGAAGTTCAACTCTCCAAACAACGTAATCATTTACTATTCATAATATTTTTTTGTCTGACAGGGGTACTCTTGAATTAATTGATGATACAATATCATAAATTTGTGGCTGATAACATTACTCAGGTTTATACAAACTTTATTTCTGTAGCATTCTAGAGTTGAGGACAGTTTTATATTTCTCAAAGAAAAAAGAAGAAAAGAAAGAAAAAAACCAAGTGTTTTGAAGCCTGCCATAGATTTTGAATAATAGCACTAGCCAGAATAGAAAGAGAGGAAAAACTGAGTTTCAAGTTACTGAACTCTTAAATAAAATTTTAGTATGAGATGAAATGGTGAGTATGATGCCCTTGTGTGTTACAGCCAGCAGCTCACGCAGTACAAAAGACTCAGAAAACATGCCAATCAAAGGTGGTACTGTGATGGACCTTGATGAAGAGACCAATGACAAGGTAAGTACAGATAATTGACAGACCCTATCAAAATATCAAGGAAAAGCTGATAGATATTCTCGGATATTCTGATATAGATACAGTACTGGGAAAATTATGTTGTTTATGGTCAGGTCTTTGTGATTTGAAGTTAACTGAATGGAATATTATCACACAGCATTCAAACTCATAGAAATAAACTAAGGGCTGGTGACTTGGTTTGTATTTATAAAACAGTTCCCTGAGGGCGAGGGTAAGGTTGAGTCAGTTGAAACACAAGAGGAAGTACCAAAGGACAAGGAGGAGGAGGAAGACAATGTGACAGAACAGACCCACCACATCATTATCCCAAGCTACTCAGCCTGGTTTGATTACAACGGTATCCACTCCATCGAGAAACGTGCATTACCGGAGTTCTTCAATAGCAAAAATAAGTCAAAGACACCAGAAATGTAGGTCTTATCAATGAATTGATTTTCTTTGTAATATTTCCATGGGACAATAAAACTACCTCTAACTTAAAGTTAAGGGCCGGGCTTATTACAGGACAAAGAAATAGCTTTTCTGTATGATTTTATCAAACAGAAGTCTTTATGGACGTTAATTTATCCCCTCGTGGCGACCGCTAAGAGGTTGTTGCATTTCGTACATACATACGTACATATATTCGCTTTTTGTCATCACTCTAGAAACTTTATTTCTCATCCGATTTTGCTCAAACTTCACATATTGATTAAGTATCGTAAAACCTTTTGCAAGTTTAGTTTTAAAAACCTGTTTCTGCCACTGTTTATAGATACATGGCCTACAGGAACTTTATGATTGACACGTACCGTCTCAACCCCACTGAGTACCTGACCAGCACTGCATGTAGGAGAAATCTGGCTGGTGATGTGTGTGCAATAATGAGGTAGGACCATTTTGACATGGGAAGATGTAGAGTACATTTAATAGTAAATTTTGTTTATTGCAACAGGAAGTTATATCATGTGATGCTGTCTTCTGTAAAGAGTTATATTACACAAAGCTAGGGTATTCTGTATGTCTTTGATATTCCTAAATGATTTTGCGACTTATTACACACAATCTACATATTGGTACACACAGTCTACAATATATATTACATATTGGTAATTGTAGACTAAACTATTATAAAAGTTCAAACACAAAGTACAGTTCTGTTCATATTTCTCAAAGTCAGTTGAAGGTTACAAAGTTTTTGAGGCAATAAGGCAGTTGTGTAGTATGTCTTGATATTTTTTCAGTCAGACATTTTTCAAAACAATTGTTGAGAACTTGACAATCATTTCTATGCCAATAGCTGTGAAACCAATCACATTAAATGTATATTTCCTTACAGAGTGCATGCTTTCTTAGAACAATGGGGACTGCTAAATTATCAGGTGGACGCTGATAACAAACCATCAGCCATGGGACCTCCACCAACCTCTCATTTCCACATTATGGCTGACACACCATCAGGTCTAGCCCCAGCAAACCCACCGAAGATCAATCAGGTAATAATGATAGTGTTGTATAAATGATATATCCAATTCTCTCAAATAATTTAGATGTTGATATCCATGTGTACTCCAGTACTGATGAAAAGAAAATTAATCCTCCAAAAATATTCATTCAGAAAAATCCGAAGCTTTATTAAGATCAAAGCACAGCTGATAGAGCCCTTCAATTTTGTACATAGCACAACAACATAAAAAGAATTCTGATCAACTGTTTTGACTGTTTATTGTTTACTGAGCTTTTTTATATGTCCCCACCAGCCATCAGCAGCCAAACAGATAGTCAGTTTTGATGGCGATAAGGACAAGGAACGAGAAGGGGATGACAAGAAGGAGCTATCAAACTTTAGTCTTAGGATGGACATTTATGCTAAAAAGGCACTGAAGGTAAACTTTCAAATGGATGAAATTTTGAGGGCTTGTTGAGAGATTTGGAAGTTAAGAATTATATCAGATAAAGTAGGTTGATCCACAGTATTTTGAGATTTTTATGGCAAGAAAAAATGAAAATTGAAAAATGCCATGATCATAATTGTCAACAACGATATATTATAGGACAAGGGTGCTGCCACTCGTTCCCGTGAGTGGACAGATCAGGAGACCCTCCTGTTACTCGAGGCCCTCGAGATGTATAAGGATGACTGGAACAAGGTCTCGGAACATGTAGGTAGTCGGACGCAGGACGAGTGTATCCTACACTTTCTCAGGCTTCCGATTGAGGATCCTTTCCTGGAAGAGGACTTTGGCCATCTGGGTATGTTTTTCTCTATGATGTGTTGTATGATGGACATTCATCTTTTATTTAAAGTTCCGGGAATTCAGGATCCCCATCAAATAAGCACTGAAATGAGTGCCTCATAGAAATAAAAACAAAATAGATATTGCAAAAGTTAACTGAAATTTTGACTCACAATTTCAGCCCCATTGACTTTTCGGAAATGTGAAAATCAAACTAAGCTAATTTCAATTGAAAAAGAAAGCATCCTAACATTAGTATAGGACTTATTTCATTGTTATGGTAAAAAAATTCAAACTGTTGGTTTTAACAGGATATTGTCTTCTTGGGTGGGTTTTACCTGAATACTTAAAGACAACTGGCCTATTTAAATAAAGGGATCTTTCTAAAAAATTGTGTGTATATTTATGCTGTAACTTTTGATTTTTTGTCGTTACAGGACCTTTGGCATTCCAGCCCATACCCTTTTCCCAAAGTGGTAACCCTATCATGTCTACTGTGGCTTTTATTGCGTCTGTGGTAGACCCACGTGTGGCCAGTGCTGCGGCTAAGGCTGCCCTAGGTAAGTACAGATCCTTTGTCTAGTGTTATCTCCTCTTGCGTTATTGAAGCAAAGTGTACATAATTGCATGTGTTTTGTTACACTCCTTATTGACTAAGTAGCTGTGTCTATAATTTGGAGACATGATTTGATGGTTATGGTGAAATTTGTCTAACTTAAGCCAAACTGTGATATAAAGTTTTTGAAATTTAGTCATATTTTGAATTAAAAAAAAGGTATTATTCACTCGGTAGATTCATTTTCCCAGAGATTATTAACATAATTTTCAAGATTGCAATTTCTGTTATGGACTGCCTATTGACATTATTAAAGGACTATTTCTGATGTTTGAAAGCTGTGATAATACACACTAGATATGCTTATTTGGTTGTTGATATCATCTTGTGTATAACATATTCACATCTTGCGAACAGAGGAGTTTGCTAAAATGAAGGATGAAGTCCCCCCTGCTCTAACACATGCCCATGTTAAGATGGTGGAAGAGGCAGCGAAGGAGGGTAAGGCTGTGGATGCTGTTTTTGGTCTGGAGAAGAGTGGCATTGCTGGTACTGTTGCTGAGAAAGAGGAGTCTAAGGAAGGTGAGTGACACATGTCATCCATCCTGGTTCATTGACAACTTTTACTGTGATAGGCTTCAAGCAGTTTATAGGTGGTCCAATGACTGATAGATTATGACAAACATCTATATTAAGTGTGTTATATCATCGTTAAGTTTCCCAATTGTCTCTTTTTTTTTACAGTCAAACCAGTTCAACTTCTTTTTTACACAAAACACATTCTTTCAGCAGACAAGTTTAGATCCTACAAACATATTTTACTATATCCTTTTAAATAGTGAATACCTTATTAGCATGGACACCAGACAATGTTCTTGCAGGCAATAAATAAGTTTTGTCTTTTAAATGGAGGGCACATAAAGGATTTTGTTTATTGCAGTACATGTTTTCTCCTATAATCTGGGTCCTGTGCCTGATGCAGTGTATTCTGGGTTATTTATCACAACAACAAGTCGAGTTCAGTGAACTTTCTTTCAAGAAAGCTGAGAAACAAATAGGTCCATGCTGACATGGTTGTGTCCTTGTACAAGACACTTTACCCTGATTGTTCTTGATGACATGCAACAGTCCTCCTGTTTAATGAGTTCTGTAGCTGCTAGATGCAATAAGGAGCCCTAACCTTAAATTGTCCCATGTTGATAAACCAAGCAATCATCTTTCAGACATATTTAGAGAAATATTTTGATTGCATCAGTTGATTTGTGTTTTATTTCAATCCTTCATATTTCAGAATCAGATGAGAAAAAAGAATCTGAGGACAAAGAAAAAGAAGAAGATTCAAAGTCTGAAGGGAAGAAAGAGGATGGAAAGGAAGATGAAGAAGAAAAGGACAAAGAAAAGGTTATTTTTTGTCATTTTCTCTTATTTCACAGTGATCGTTTTTTGTTTTTTCTCAGAACAGTAAATTTTTTATTCTTTATTTCTGATGAATAACAAAGGATACTAATCTTCATAAAGTTTTGATGTTTTAACTTATCTCTGATACTATTCTTTAGATATGAAAAGAAAATTCTGATATATAAAAGCAAAATTCAACTTTCCATTGTAGTAGTCTATGTGATATTGTACAAAATCGTAAATCCTTGGAAGTTTTCAATACTCCCAGTTTGCATCAGCAAAGGTAATTTTTTTGTCCAAATTGTCTGTATTTGTCACTGTAATTATGTTGTACCAGAAGTTTTATATATAGTGCTGTCACACAGGAATACTTTCTATAAAAGAAACTTTTTGTGATTAGAGTCATGACAATTAAACATTTTACCTTCAGACTGAGGAAGCCATGGAAACAGATGAGACAGAGAAAAAAGAGGATAAGGTAGAGAAAGACGACAAGGCAAAAGACAAGGAAGCAACAAAAGAATCAGAATCCGAGGAAAAGAAAGATGAGGTGTGTTATTGGTCAATACAAATTTTTAGATTCTTTAGAACTGAGGGGAAAATTTCTAAAGCAAAAATTCAGTAATGAAAACATGATCAATGAAAATATATTTCTTATAGAAAGGGTTTTTTTTGTAGAAAAAGATAGATGAGGAGAAGGAAAAGACAGGTGATGAGGAGAAGATGGAGACAAAGGAGAATGAGGAGGAAAAATCAAAGGAAGGCACAGATGAAAAGAAAGAGGACGAAACAAAAGTGGAGATGTCGAAGAGGAAAGCTGATGGCAATGTGGCTACAGCCGCAGCATCTGCACTGGCATCAGCTGCTGTCAAGGCTAAGGTATATAGTCTGGTGGTAAAGTGGCCATGTATGTTAAGTGGACATTAAGATGAAGTTTGAGATAATGCAACATGCATATTTTTTTTTATTCAATTTTAAACAAAGTAAAGGCATGTCTGTCGAAGTAGGCTGTCAAACATATAATTTGAATTCCAATTTATAAAGTTGTCATTTGGCATGATGTCATATTCTAAGATTTATTGTTGATTAACTTTGCCTCACATCCTCTAATGGCTGCTGCCACAGGCACTATACTGTTTGTAAATAGGTTAATTGATGAGGATTAACTTAGAAAAACAACATCTCTTTTACAAAAACATATGGGATTATTTTGAATTTATGAAGGTTCCTATAATTGAAACTCATTACTGATAAAGATTTTGATAATGCTAATATGACCTTAAATGATTAAGTGTTTTCTGTTAAGATAATCATTAAATTTTTTTCTTAAAGTAAAATGCTTCTGTGACAGTAAAAGTTAATAAAATTGTTTTAAGTGTCTGCATGGCAATTACGTTTAACGTTATTTTATTTCAGCACTTAGCAGCAGTGGAAGAGCGTAAGATCAAATCTCTGGTAGCTCTGCTAGTGGAGACACAAATGAAGAAGCTGGAAATCAAGCTTCGTCATTTTGAGGAATTAGAGACCATCATGGACAGAGAAAGGGATGCAGTAAGTGACTTCATTCTCATGTTCCTGGCTTTCTTCAACATAAAAATCTTACTGTGGAGAATATATACTAGCTATAATAAATTAATGAGCTAGCCACTCTGTGCTGAAAAAAAATCATCTATTTAATGTTTAAATAGCTGTAGTGCTGTCGTATCTCAGACTGTTTTTTTACATCCCAATTATCTAACTTTTTATTGGCATTACCATGAAGGCTATATTTATGATAAAACATCTGAGAGGGTTGTCAGAGTAGGTCTGAGGATAAAAATATCTGAAAACCTTGTGCTGATTCTCATTTACAACAGTTCTTACTTCTCAGATGTAAAATGAGGACTATCTTGATATTGCTATGAGATATGATCTGGTGTTTTCAGCCACTATGCTGACAGCTCTGATCTAATGTCTCTCTCATGGATCATTCTCATCTGTTACCTGTTTTAGAATTTAAACAATATTTTTAAGTTACTGACATTACCATATAAAGAAGATAATGTCATCTGATGTCCAATGAAAGGTGATAACTAAACATATGAACTGTATTGTGTTGTAGCTGGAGTTCCAGCGTCAGCAGTTGTTACAGGAAAGACAAATGTTCCATAATGAACAAATTCGCGCAGCTGAACATCGAGCCCGACAGATCGCCATGCAGCAGCTTGTGTCAGAGCAAAAGCAGCAATCTGCACAACAGGCTGGAGAACAAGGTATGACTTCAAGAGTACTAAAACCTTCTGTAAAGAGTTCTTGTTTAGATGATTATATAGTGATATATTTATTGACTAAAATCTGCTTCAAAATGTTGTTGACATAGACATCAGATAAATACAACACACATTTATTTTAGGATACTTAAAAAACCAACAAAATCTGAAGGTAGAAACATTTTCATATTTTGAAAACCATTTAATGTAAATTGTTCCTGAAATTTTTCATGACAATTTAAATGGAAGTAAACAGTTGGATGTTTTTCTATTTGTATTTATGTATCTCTGAGCCTTTGACAATGACTGATCTGTGTCCGTAGTTTAATGAAGTATCATTTTTTAAACTTCATTACAATCTTTTATTTTCAAAAAGTTTGACAGTTTGTTAATTATGTCAGCATGATTATTAATGTCATTTGTTTATATCTATCCAATCTGATTGATCAGGAGGCCCAGCAGGTTCTGGGGCAGCACCAGTCTCCACGCCGTCCCTGGCTGCAGCTGTAGGACAGAGTTATCCAATGACTGGCTCCCCAATGGCACCACAGGGACCACAGGCTCATCAGCCTGCTCAAGGCTCCCCCGCACCTTCATTCCCTGCACCATCACAGAGCCAAAGTCCACAACCTCCTCCACAGACCCTGACGCAGGGACTGCCCCCACAAAGCATGCACCTGCCTGCTACCCCAACAAAACCAAGCAGTGTCGAATCTCCAGGTATGTTATACTGTGTACTGTGAAATGTCATGTTTTCTTTGGACTTATTTAACAGTATGTGTTTTGGCAGATATTCTATATAAACTTTGTGAAGTGGGTTCCATAAGGTCAAGAGAATAATGTAATTATTGTCATTCCCCTGTCACGTTGTGGTCCCAATTATTCAGGATTAATGTCCTCAAACTGGCAATTTTGTTTCCATGGGATTTCAGTCAAAGTTGATGATATCAATGTCAAGTATGAGAAGAAAATGAAATCATTTTTCAGAATACCAAGTTCAAAGGTTACCTTTGCAATTTCAAATTCTCAAAAAACATAAGTGCAGCAGCTAATTACCTGTTACGATTTTATGCACAACATCAGAAAGGTTTGATGTCCCAGAGGAATGTATTATTTGTCAGCCTCAAAGAAGAAATGCCATGAAATAAAACCAAAGTTCTGAAAAAGTTGCAAAGAAAAATCACCACAATTGATTTATTGATATTTTTCTTTCAGCACCATCTACACAAAGTGATTCAGAGCCAATGGTAACTGACTCTCCTTCTCCTGCCATACCAAAACCATGACCACCAACCATGGACTTAATATTGTGACTGTATGTGAAGTGAAGGTGCTCTGGTGTAGGAATGTGTTCAGTAAACGTTTACCAACAGGAAGATATTTAAGATCTGATTCATTGATCTTGTTTAAGACATGTTGTGCATGGCAGCTGGAGAGAATGTGTGGAGATGCGAGACCAATGACAGTTTTTGACTGTTAAGTATAAATGTATTTTGAACAGAGGCATTTCTTTCTGTCATTGACAGTGGTGACAAATTTTAGTCATTACCTGACAAGTCATGAAAATTCATCATAGTTCAGTTTCTTTTGTCAATCTGAATATCATCACATATACAACTCGCCACACAATATTAAATCTTTGGCAGCCATAAACAGTCTGGTGGGATTGGGTTTCTCCATTCTACTGTAGGACCATGATCATGTTTTCTTTGATAATGAATCTGTTTCATTAGACAAAGAGAAATATTTTATTAAATTATTAAGTGTTACATAGATAAACATGTTGGAAATAAAATGTAAAAGTTTGATCAGGTTTGGTTGTATATAAAAGTGTTTAAAAGCATTTTGGCATTTTATTTTTCTACTGGTCACATGTTTATCAAGACAGATTTTCATACATAATTATGATAGTCTTAATGTTGCTTTGTAGTTGGGGATATAGAAATAGTGCAATTTTACCCAGTTAAGGAGGGATCAACATACACGATGTAAAATGTACTGCCAACTGTTGTTCATCACAGTCAGTAAAGTTTGACAAGTTAGATCAAAGATGTATGCGAATGAAATACTGTTCATTTAGTAGTCTGAAGCTGTTTACTGTTGAGGCTTGGAAAATACTTTTAAAAAGTCTTGTGTTGTAAACAGTCGCAGATCTGCTAAGATTCAGTCACAGATCCGATAAAGTTCATCTCCAAATTATGGTAGACTGGTCATTCTAAATAAATCAAAAGACCCACAGTTGTTATATCAGGCAGATCCAAAAGTAACTAAAACATTCTTCATCAGTTTTCATGGTCATTGTAATGTCAGTATTTGTTGATGATCGTGCCATACACGGCATTGAGATTTTTTTATATGTCTGTACATCCTATTATCATTAGTGAATGTTTCGTCATATGTAAAATAAATGTATCAGTAACTGTTCAGTTGTTATGGTTTGTTTTTAGTTTTATCTCACTGGGTACAAGTAACAACGAAGCCAATGCTGTTTCTCCAGCATCTCTATCCCACAACAATTTTTTTTTTAAATGGTTAGTCGATGTTAAGTATACATCCCAGACATTCGTCCTACTTTGTATATATCATTATAAGCACAAGATTACAGTGATTCAATACTGAATACTGTTGTATATTTTAGCCCACTATCACGAGATGATGACCCTCTGGGATCTCTTGTTCATGTTTTGGACTTATTTTTTATCACACCATGATGTTTTGAATGGCTTTGACTTCAACGACCCACACCCTTTTTAGATACAATAATCAAGCATTTGGCTGCTGTTAATAATCTTGTCAATCAAGGATTACATATATGTCATCAAGGATAGTTCTTCATCAGATTTCACTATGTGTACCTCGATTCAGACATTTTGTTACTGTTAGTTGTGGTTGGGAAACACTTTCTAAAATTTAACAAAACTTCATTTGATGTAATAAATGATTAGGAACAAGTAAGAGAGATCATGAGAATTATTCTTCTATCGGTTGTGAAGACAACACAAACAAGACATAATAATAAATATTTTATTGAAAATAAGTAGTTAATGTAATGGATATTACAAAGGTGAGTTACAAATCTACAAGAGCTATGCCAAGATGGTAGAGTCCTTGATGCAGCCACAACAAAATAGTTATACCTAAACACCAACAAGGACTTGATGAAAATGATACATAGCAGTTGCTTTACTTTGATATTTTACACTCAGGACTTAAACATTTAAACTCCAGATTTTATGTTTGTATGATCACCTTACAATTCCAAGTAGATTTTCTATACAAATTACTGTTGATGAAGATTTTATTAAATATAATGAACCTTTAAGATAAAGTTATATAGCAAGACCACATAGGATACAGAACAGACAAAATCTGATATCACTGTTTCCAGTCTCTTCCAGATGTCTATATACATCACAATTACACCAATCGCTCATGTTTTTGTGAGATCCAGTAAAAAAACAAAAAAACCAAAAATACAAGGAAAGGTAAGTAGGTTTTTTTTATTTCAAAATGTTTAAAAAGTTTTTACAATGTGTTGATGGAGCAGAAATTCTGTCTTTACCACTACTGTCAACAAAGAAAGTTTCGGCAGTACCTATTTTCATATTTCTTTCAACTGCATGAATCAAAACAAATGCTTCACATTTCTCAAAATTCGAAAAAGATCAGTTCCAATGATATTCCTTACACAATAAGAAATAACTTGTCAAATGGGGATGATAATCATAATACATGTATTTGTTAATAGAACTTTACAATATTTTCAAAACAACATTGTTCCAATATTTATACAATGAATGTATGGTATAGACCAAGCATACACTATTTATAAAGCAAATTATTTCAACAAAGAATATTTACAAAAAGACTTGATCTTGGAAAATTTGTCCATGAAAGTAGTTTTTCTTTTTACATAACACAGTAATTGTAACCATGAATTAATTTCACTGATTTTGGAACAGGTCACATCAACCATTTAAAGTTTATTTTTCAACAATGACAGCAGATTGGAAAATCAACATTATTTTCCATTTATGATTTCTTTTATTACTTTACAACCTATAAAAATGTTTACCAAAAAAGTTGATAATGTATAAACTGAATTTTCACAAAGAAACACATAAATTTTTGACATTATGCATAAATACCACAAAAATGAATCTAAGATTCATATTACCTTTTACTGCCATAGAAAATGTGTCAAGTAGATTGCAATCCAAGATTTGATCTGATGAAATCATATTGCACCTGTAGCTTCTCGTACATAGTTATGTATACAATCCATCAATTTCAAGATAGAAAATTTCTGAGAGGAAAAAAAACCATATCTATCTACCGTAATATTGAGTATTTGACATTATGTTTTAACAAGTATGGAACCATGTAAATATATATAGATATTTCAAGTATACAAATAAAAATCATATATAATTGATATATGTATAAAAAAATATGAATTATCTCCCTTATATCTGGAATGTCTTAAGTACGCCAGTATCACTATTATGTGCATCAGAAACTTATGATTCGCTTTTCAGAACGAGTATTGATTTGATAATCTATTTACACTATAGGACATCTACAGGACCCTATCTAAGTTGGTTTAATTAGCACTCAATTCTGGTAACAAATTACAAAACAATGGAGCATACCATATTTGTGTTGCATTAATCCTTGGTGGGGGGGGGGGGGGCACCACATAATCTGCTGAGCCAAACTAATAGTGTGGGCTTACAAGAGGACAACTGAACAGTATTTGTCATCATTTCAACTTTAATGCAATAGATATGGGTGGGTTTATCACCAGATATGGGCCCATTGCTTGATAAATACAGCTATTGTATGTATAACAGAATACAGACATATTGCTTAACAGTAGCTACAGTAAGCCTATATATATATATGGGGATAACATTCTGCTGCATATAAATATATACCTGAAGTTTTACACATACATGATAGTCTTTAAAGTTTTGATATTGTAACATGCACAGTGTTATATTAATTTCATTTCATCAGTGATCATAGTCAGCCTGTCCACAATATTAAGGAAAAGCATTAAGGCACTACCACATCAGTTATCGCGAGAAAAAAAGAAATATCTATTCATTTCTTTTCTTTTTTATTTAACTGCATAGCAACACCAGATTTTTATTCTAGCTTGGAGTAACTGTATCCATCAAAGTACAATTTTTTAATTTTGACACTTTGTATTTTTAAATCCCTGACCGCTTCATTTGAGAATTTTGTCTCTGGCATCAATTTATTGCTTAACATTGTCATTCCATTTCTCTACTAAAACTAAACATTTTAAAGGCTCACAGAAATAAACACCGATTCTGTGATATCAGTAATAAGGTATTATAACCTAACCACACCCTTTAACTTCAGTAGTAGTTTCCAGTCAAATCTCTCCGTTTAAGATCATATGTAAAACAAGAGAGTGTAAGACAGGGTTATATCAATAAGGACTAACAGAATGTTCTTTTAATCAATGATCTGGTCTTATGGTCTTGTACATATTATGCTACATAACACATATTCTACAGATCAGGTAAAACAAATCTTTTGACTCGATTTGCACCCAATGTGGAGGCATACTATTTCAAAATTATATAAAATGGCAAGACTACATTATATAACATCCAACAATTAACTATACGTAACTGTTTCATATTAAAACTGGAATTGTTTCATACCAATTATGCTGGAAGACTTGAAATAACAAAGGCACCAGTTAAATGGACAACCTATCTCTTGTAAGAAGTAGGATGTCAGCTTTATTAGGACTTCACAAAATGGAATGTTGTCAACTTGGACAAAATTAGGATACCCTACAGAACCTGGAATGATCACTGCATCATTCAGTAATGAAATTGTCACTCAGAAAGGAAAGTGTCTCGGTAACCCAAGTCACCAAGCCTAATGTTTACTGGAAATGAAAGGTAGGGAGTTGTGAGAAAGATTCTCTTCTACCAATGGCTGACCTACATCATATAGCTGAAGGTTGTGTCACAGTTTTGTGTAGGTCTATCAAGAACCGTCGTGTTAGTGTTATAATCAGAAGCTAAAAATTAACTTCATTAAGAACAAAAACGAAGAACATTATTCTAGATCATATACCCCGATGTAACGCTGGTGAAGGTGAGGAAGAACATTATTCTAGACCACATACCGCGATGTAACGCTGGTGAAGGTGAGGAAGAACATTATTCTAGATCACATACCCCGATGTAACGCTGGTGAAGGTGAGGAAGAACATTATTCTAGATCACATACCCCGATGTAACGCTGGTGAAGGTGAGGAAGAACATTATTCTAGATCACATACCCCGATGTAACGCTGGTGAAGGTGAGGAAGAACATTATTCTAGATCACATACCCCGATGTAACGCTGGTGAAGGTGAGGAAGAACATTATTCTAGATCACATACCCCGATGTAACGCTGGTGAAGGTGAGGAAGAACATTATTCTAGACCACATACCCCGATGTAATGCTGGTGAAGGTGAGGAAGAACATTATTCTAGACCACATACCCCGATGTAATGCTGGTGAAGGTGAGGAAGAACATTATTCTAGATCACATACCCCGATGTAACTATTCTAGACCACATACCCCGATGTAATGCTGGTGAAGGTGAGGAAGAACATTATTCTAGACCACATACCCCGATGTAACGCTGGTGAAGGTGAGGAAGAACATTATTCTAGATCACATACCCCGATGTAACGCTGGTGAAGGTGAGGAAGAACATTATTCTAGATCACATACTCCGATGTAACGCTGGTGAAGGTGAGGAAGAACATTATTCTATATCACATACCCCGATGTAACGCTGGTGAAGGTGAGGAAGAACATTATTCTAGACCACATACCCCGATGTAACGCTGGTGAAGGTGAGGAAGAACATTATTCTATATCACATACCCCGATGTAACGGTGGTGAAGGTGAGGAAGAACATTATTCTATATCACATACCCCGATGTAACGCTGGTGAAGGTGAGGAAGAACATTATTCTAGATCACATACCCCGATGTAACGCTGGTGAAGGTGAGGAAGAACATTATTCTAGATCACATACCCCGATGTAACGCTGGTGAAGGTGAGGAAGAACATTATTCTAGATCACATACCCCGATGTAACGCTGCTGAAGGTGTGGAAGAACATTATTCTAGATCACATACCCCGATGTAACGCTGGTGAAGGTGAGGATTCATTCAAGTCTATCAACAAAACAGGTAAAATGAAAACATAATGAAACTTGTTTACATTATAAATGTAAAATGAAAGTAAATTTATTAAAATTAAAAAAAAAAAAAAAAAACAGTATGGTATACATGTAGTGTGATTCAGTATATATCATAAAACACCAATACATTTTGTATCATGAAGTTTCAATTTTTAAAAAATGAAATGACATATATTTACATTAACATACAATTTCATAAATTATGATAGCAGAAGAACCAATTGACCTACATACGGTTTTTCGGTAATAGTACATGTGACCTGAAGGGTGAAACATTCCAAAAGGAACTTGGAATATCATCTTTGACAAAGAAAGCAAAGGACACTTCTTTTGTCTCAAGGAACAGATCTAATGATATCATGTTTGAAATCTAATAAATTGCAAATTTGTTTAACCCACCCTAAGTTTAAAATCCAGTTTAGTCCATATTTGCAATTATTTTATTTCAAATTATATAATGTCAAGTTTAACACAAAAGATTTATCTACCAACAGTACAGTATTTAGATGATCTATCTATACATACAAAACTACATTGCACAAATATTCTCACCTTTGATCAAATACCTCGGTGGCTAGTCTAGAATTACCTTAGTATGAGGAGTAAATCTCTAATGTTTAAGCTTGTCAGCATCCTAACCCCCTGCATCTCCATCTCCACCCCTCAACTGCTGTAAATTCTTTACATCCCCATCCCATAATTGCGGTATATTTTCTATCTCCCCCTGTAGTTCATTTCCTGTCTTCATATTTAACTAGTGTAAGAATCATCTACTCTTGAAGGCTCATAGTTTTACAGCTCTGAGTAAAAAGGCACACAGTCTAGAACTTGACGCTTGTTGAGTGAGCTCTAAGTAAACTCTGCACATAACTAATATAGTGTCACCTTGAATACACATTTCAGTGTGGATCTAATGTCACCTATGTAGTATTACACTGAATATAGTCCTATGTGCCCCTGGTCCATTTCAACCCCATTCCAGGACCTAAAAGCCCATGGAGACTGATTTCACTCTTTTCCAGGACCTCTGGGTCTATGGGGACAGTCTTCACTCCGCCCTAGGACCTCCTAATCCATCGAGACCATCTTAACTCTATCCCAGGACCTCAGAGTCCATGGAGACCATCTTAATTATTTGTCTATAGACCTGCATGGATCAACTTATACAAATTATCAATATTGTGGCACAGTTCAGTTGTTTGAATCAATGGATCGATCTCAATGAATCTCTAAATTTCCATCAACATTATCTAAACAAAAAAACTATCAGAACAAAAAAAATCAGCAAAATATTGTCATAACAGTAATATTTTGCCTACAGGTGTTTTTTGTTTGTTTTTTTAAAACAAAATATGATTTTGCAATGCATACAGTGAAATCTGTGTTATCTGACTCTTGATTACATAGAAACCAAACAAGATTCATGTATTCCATCCTCCAGTCTAATCTATCCAAAAGATTGCATCATACATAGCGTGTCTAATTTCAGACAGATTCACTGTATTTATACATTAATCAGACTTCATGAACACAATTGCCTTGATTTATAGATACAGTACCCTTATCTGTGAGTATTTTAATTTTGGGTCACCACAAGCGAAAGCATAACCATGATAAAACCATAGCCTGTAATTAACCATGGTTATTTGGCTCTACTATACACATAATTTGACCTGTGTTATCTTGCTGATCAAAAATACCCTGTGTTTCATCCCTGTAATATTTAGTACGGCATTGATACTTAATAAACTATACTTAATTAATAATTTCATTACAGCACTGGTTTAGATATTTAAGCACCACTGTGGTAATTCAAAGCCTAATGATATACGAAGGAACTTTTTAGAAGTCGGATATCAGTACCAAATCAGGCACAATAGATTTGTACTAGGAAATACTAGACATGATGTTGATGTAGGAATTTGTAGAACAGTTCTGAACACAGAACGGTATATATTTAATTCAATGAAAAGAGAGCATTTTGCTTTATTTTGCATATTTCTGTCTCAAGTCAGTAACATACTTGCGACATCAATTTGAACATCTTTCGTGAATGTATGACAGGAACAAACACTGATCACTCTAATCATAGATTTTCTCTCTTATCAAATATGCCAATGTTGAACACAAAATAGTTTTGACTCAGTATAGCACATGATTTAATCCAAGGCAGATAATCCTTCTGATATCTTCAACCTTATATCTTCATTCTTTCCCCCGATTTGGGAGATCTCAAACCATGACACTTTCTCCTGAAATTGACTTCAGTTGACTGGCCAGTTAGAACCTTTGCAGTGAGTAGAGTTTCAGTGAAAGTGAATCAATTTTCACGTTTTGTGAAGTTTTCCGGGAAGACACCCATTTCACCTGTAACCTTTTTCTTCCCCATCAACCACCCATCATCCTGCAGGAAAACAACACATTCAGAGCAATGACAATGCAATTTTCATAATTATATATAAAAATACTGTATAACAGGTTATTTTTTCAATACTAACTGTTAAATTATGATAGTTACCGGTAAATTACAACACTAACTGTAAATAATAACACTAATCGTAAATAACAATCGTAAATAACAACACTAATCGTAAATAACAATCATAAATAACAACACTAATCGTAAATAACAATCGTAAATAACAACACTAATCGTAAATAACAATCGTAAATAACAACACTAATCGTAAATAACAATCGTAAATAACAACACTAATCGTAAATAAAAACACTAATCATAAATAACAACACTAACTGGTAAATTACAACATCATTCGAAAGCATTCGAGAAAAATATAATCAGTCACTCCTGTTAGTTGTAGACAGAGGAAAAATGTCAATCCTCAAGTACTGCCCATTCTCGGACCAGATCTACTCACCAATTCCTCAGGGCCATTGTATTCCATCACATATATTAGATCACCCTTCTCAAAGCTGAGTTCATCATCATCCTCTCTCGTGTAGGAATGAGTCGTCACAACCTATCAACAAAATATAATTCTTACAGTAAGGGTGTCTATTTATGCAACAAAAGCTACCACCATAGTATTGCAACAGTAAAATTACTAATGTGATATTATTACGTGGTCCAGTGACTATTGTGATAAAACAATAGAATTTTACATTAGCTATAGGTTTTTCTAACACAGAAAAAAAGTCACTTACCAATTAAATGTATTAGAATGCTCAATTTAGCAAATGTTAAGGTTGAGAAATTTATTTACGATTTTTTATACAATCCAGTATGTTGCACTGTAATATTTTGTACACCTTGTTTATATCATTTATCTCCTACATAAACATGCTATTCTTTGATATCTCTAGTGAAACTCCTACACAGCTGGACTCCAAGACTGTACAATTCTTTCTTATAGAAGCCTTAGTTTTACAATAAATTCACAATTGGTTTCTTCTTTATTTTAGACCATTCTCTTCTTGTTAAAGCTGAATAATTAATTCAACAATGACACAATTGTTTGATTTTAACAGAAACTTGATACACTTCAGACATTGTAAGTCTTGTTAAGACATATATATATACTTGTCTTAATAAAGGTAGGATCACATACAGCTATTTACAGAATGAAGGTGTCACAAACTGAGATATTCAGCAATAATTCAGTGTAAAATCTTGCTTTTAAGCGACACTTTTGTTTAGTTGAAAAAAACTATCATTAACAACTGTTGAATGAATTATTGTGATAGTTATCAATTGAAAATATGCAGACGACCTACTGCTATCGACAGATATAAGTTGACCTATCATTACACCACAACACCACAGGTCTTTTTTATAGATGTATAAAATGTGAAATGGAAATGAATACTGCAGGAAAGAAGAAGGAAGAACTTGACAACATTCACCTGAAGTAATATCTTAAATTTAATTAAGTTTGTAACTCCAACCTAATCATCAGTAAAAAAATATGGCTTGTAATTCCAACATTCTGTTTTCAATAAAACAATGAAGATACAAGAAAAATATCACTATTGAGATGCCACTGGAGTGTCTTAACATTTTGTCAGAGAACGAAGTGTTAACCTTATATCGGGCTCCTTCTGGTAGTTTCTCCTCAACTGGTGCGTTGGACTTTGGCACTTCATACAAATTGTCATCATCGAATTTACTTGCATCCTCTTCCTCCTCTTTTGGTTTGACTTCTGCTGGTGATGGCACAATATCATACACCGGGGCTTGCACTGAGGGTTCTTCTGCTTTTGGTTCTGGCTCTTCTGAAGGTAATGACTCTTCCTCTTTCATTTGCATGACAGGTGAATCACTTGTTGGAGGAGGAGGATTAGAGGGAACCGCAGGAGGTGGATAGTCAGGAGCATCGTCTGGAGTTACCTTATCAGGCACTTCCTGTGACAGTGTGTCAGTAGCTTCCTGAGAAATTTCATCAACTCTTTCTTTGGTTTCCTCGGCCTGGACAAAGTGAAGTTAGCATTCATTTTATACAAATATTTTACAACTCCTTTTTTTCCTGGCTACCTTTTCAAATAAATTTATGGTAAGTCAATTTTTAAAAATCAATGATATTCAACAAGTTTCATCAATACAATTTGATCATAACTGTGCCAAACTTAGTAGAAATTTATACTGAGGTTATGTTTGTAGTCTAGTAAGCTTGCCTGTGTGATTGTGACCTCCTCCTGCTGCTGTGCGGGTGACATCTGCTCTTCCGTGACAGAAGGCTCACTCTCTACCTGAGGTGAAGCCACCTCCTCCTCTGGTTTACTGTCGACCTGAGGTGGGGACAGGGCCACTGTTTCTTGGAAGGAGGGGTTGTTCTGGTACAATGGACCTTTACAAGACAAAAAATATACCAATAAATTTACAAAACCTTCCAGGGGATCTCTTAATGCCTACAACCAGATTCAACACAGAAAGTGTTTATCTTCTAAAGCATTTTTATCACTTCCACCAAACTATGGGATGTGGCCATCTTTTAACCATATCATTTCATTTTATCACCTCTACCAAACTATGGGATGTGGCCACCTTTCAACCAGATAGTATTTCATGTTGTTTTTTCTTTTCAGACTTTCTTCCATGTGGCACCTTTTATGCATAATGGAGATTTTTTTGGTACTTTCACTGGCTTGAAATCTATTTCCATATCATCTCATTATCTATCTGTATCATTATCAGTCATCTTAACTTGGAACTGATTATCATGTTAAAGGTGTGACATCGTCTTGTGACCTACTTTCTGGTGGTGAATGATGTCCTTCATCTTCCTCGTGGCCATTCAGCATTGGTGGCTGTGATGGCCGCGTAGGCGTAGCGCCTGGGCTGGACGACTCGTAGCCACTGTTTCCATTAGTATGGTCACCATTCTCTCCGTTCATTACATGTGTGTTTCTGTAAAAAATTTGTCAATGTTCCTGTTAAAAGTCTTCATAACAACATAAAAAATTTTGGTAGGTCACATCTATTTGAAAGCAGGACTTACATTTCCAATATTTTCCTAACTAGGTCCTGTTTACACAACACACTGACATTACAATAATTTAGCTTCAGAACTTTCTCTGTATCAAATCTTGTTCAAATCTGCTCATCTGTTCTACACACAAATATTGATAGAAAAATCTGACAGTTAAACAGTGGACACTACCGTTCATTAACAATTCACAATTAAAATCTGATACTATGAACAGCACAGTTAACTAAACTTTTTCAAGGCACCTTTTGTACCCCGATAATCATAGAAATTTTCAAGAGACAGGCAATACTTACTCATGTGACAAGGCCTTACTGACTGGGCGGGGTCGGTAGGTAAATTGGTTCTCATTTGCTAACAGCTTGGCAATGTTGCTGGTATCTTCCGCTAACTGTAGATGATCATGAGACATGTTAATATTAGGAAATCATTATTTCTACAACAATGAGATTGAAGTGGACATGTCAAAAGTCATGACAGTAGTTAATGCTTTTCAAACACATGATTCATTGACAAAATTTACTTATAGACCCAATTTGCTATTCTAAATTGTTTGAACAAAAAGTTGTTCACTTTTTAAAATTCTTACCTTTCCAAGCTCAGAGTGAAACATACTCTCTGATCCAAAGAGTTTTTCAAATGTTGTACCATACAGACCAACACGACTGAAATCACACACAAAAAAGTCTGTGTTATTGTTGATTGCTTCCAGAAAAAAGCCTTTTTGACAAAAATATGTGAACATATGATATGACTTGTTGAAGTACTATATTTTTCCAGCTTTAATCCCATACATGATAATAAGCCCACAAAGAGGTACAGGTAGTCAAGTTTCAGAAGAAATCCTATAGCATGATCCCGTAACAAGCCCATCCCCTAATTATAAGTCTGATAATGTCTGTTTATCCCCTGGTCTCATTTACAGGAGCAGCCATTAAACTACCCCCATAGCCAAGAAGCCATTGTTTTAAACATAACAACCAATAAGGTAAGATGGATATCATCTACCTTTGTTCTACTATTGTATGTGTTACATAAAACGCATGTGTATTATTTTGACTAATTCTGAATGAATTAATCAAGTGTTAAAATTACAACTTTACCATATCTGTATAGCAGTTACTATAGTGATTTTAAATGATTTTAATGTTTTAAATGCTGACGTTGTTTTGATTTATACATGACACAAACAGCAGTTGACAGAGAAAATGAAAATTTATTGAACATCAATACTAACTTTACTTGTTCAGGACATAGGAATAAAAAACTAAACTAGGTTTTGGCAATCTTAGGGGCTGCTCACTATCTACCTTCCTACTAAACTTACAAAATAAAAACTCGTACAAAGCAAAGATACAAAATAAACCTATCTACCTACAAATAAGCAAAATTACTTACAACATAATTAATTGAAAGTGGGGCGATCCCCATGCAACCTCAAAAGCTAACACAACCTCCAGGCGACCCTGAAGGTTATAAGGTTAAGTGGGCGACCCCACTGCAACACCGAGCGATCCCGGAGTTGTGATAATTAAGAACTCATTGCGAGTCACCGAGCGATCCCAGAATTGTGTAATTAATACTCATTGCGAGTAAAGTGTATGCACGTGACTTACAGGGCAAGCCCTGGCAGGTACATAGACTTGAGAACAACATGGAAATGGAATGATGTAACAAATGTAAGTACAAAAAACAAACCCAAAATGAATTGGGGGTATAATTCCCCAGAATTAAATGCCCAAACAAGCGAAGGTACTATTTACCAGGTAAAGTAGTAACAAGTGAGAGCCCCCAGACGTTGTTTTGATAAGAGGAAATTAAAATATTTCCAATCAAACAAAAATGCAAGGAATCATGCCTCCTACCTACCTCTTATAGAACTCGGGGAGGTCTGCGTGTAGATAGTCATTCATTTCTGTGTAGATCATTTTTGCTTGTTCAGCATCTTCTTTTGCCTGTAAAATAAATGTTACAAGGAAAGTGAATCCTTATAAATGTTAAATGTATAAGCAAAACAGGTATAAACATGATATTGATTTATTTGTAAATATTTTTGTTCTTACAAAGACTTCATCAATCATATTACAAGTAATACACAAACATATCTCGGACAGATTCTTTTAAACTAGAAATAACAAACTCCAAATGGAATAACTGAATATTTGGATCCTCTTAGATTTGATGGAAATTGGTTATAGACATGTCTTAATTGTAACTTAACAAATCTTTCTCTTTTTTTTTTTTTTAATTTTTGTTGAATAATGAATTTTCTCTACCCTGGAAATATTGTTTTTGTTTCTCTAGAAATATTGTGGATTTTTTTGGGGGCCCTTTTTTTACCCTGAATACTTTGATTTCCTCTCCTTGAAATATGCATTTTCTTACCCTGGTTATTTTGGTTTCGTCTCTCTTCTTTGCATTTTGTACCACTTCCAGATTATGCCGTGCATTATCATAGTCAACCAGCTTACGTCCTCTCTTGGCGATTCGTGTCTGAAAAAATTTATATGTAAAATATGTGGCTATGACACATCTAGTTTGATGGTAGTTAAGAACAAAATTATCAACATAGGCGTTCATTCTTCCCAATACTACTTGTGATTCATTATACTGATGATTTGCATGTTCTGATTGGTCTATAACTGTGGTTGCTATGGTTACCTACCTTTAAGGGTGTTATATGACTGATGTAGGTTGCCATTGGTTCTTGCACTCTTTCCTGAAGATTCTGGATATAATCTGCCCACATCAGCTCCATGGACTGTAAGAAAATAACATTTCACCATACAATGATTTGATCACTAACAGTATTATAGTGTTATAGGTGCAAGATATGTAAAAGGATCCATGGTAGGGACTTGAATTACCAGAGGCACTGAAAACAAGCACACCCAAGATATGTAGTAGAACCTGAAGTATAGCAGCATAAAGTCACGGAAGAAGCAACTCAACAATAAGAGACCTTTCAAGGCTCTCACCAAGGACCAACTTGATAGAGTTAAGTTCAGGACAATCCCAGCATACAGCATTATCGAATTGAATTGTTGAATTGGAAATACAGTATTTTCATTTTTAGTGATATTTTTTTCAATCTTCAGGACATTTCCTTATGTACGTATGTACGCAGTGTCTAGACTTGTAGCTAAATCTATTGATAGGTTATAGATAAGTACATGAACAAGTTTTTTCTACATCCTAATTTGGAGAGTATGAGCATTTCTGCTCTGTCTCTATCCACTCAACACACTGAAGAAACTCTTTTAACCATTCTTCCTTGTACTTCAGTTTTTTTTATTTTTTTTTTTTCACTCTGAACAGTTGGACAGATGAACAATTTGCAACTTTAGTTTGAATTCATCACCTCTTTATCATATAATATCTGACCCTGTATTATGGTATCTTGATAGAGTTAAGTTCAGGACAATCCCAGCATGCAGCATTATCGCTGGTGGCTCACCAGCATAATCAAGACCTGTACTAGATATATTTATAGGTAGAAAAGCTAAAGAGGGATCTCAAACTCAGCGATGATAGCCGTAGCACAGCATCGACACCTAATGCATCAGAGTTAGGGGCTGTAACATATGTAGATTATAAAATACTGAACTACAAATCGGAATCTTTGTCCACCAGTTTACATGATGAACATTAACATTTGTTGCATGATATAGAAGTATAAACAGAAGGTAATTTAAAAGATTACAGAACAATGGACATTTTGTTTACGTAGAATGTATTGTAATATTAACATCATAATGTATAATATAAAGCTGCCTGCAATTTAAGTACCTTAGGTATGAAATTTTATGATACTGTGTCCTGATGAAGCCCAAGTTTTCTGGCGAAACCAATAGACAATATCTTATAAATTACTAGAAACTGCCCCCAGGATGTTTTGATTGTAGATTTTCAAATCACTCTTTGCTTCAATCGCTATTTCTTATACAACTCCCGAGTCAAGTGTTAAGACAAAAAGTCTGAAAATGAATTGGTATCAACAGAATTTGCAAGATATTACCACAGATGACAAGAACTACCCACATAGTAAAGTACCTGCTCATGTTACATCCCAGATCACACAACATACCTGTAGGTTTTCATGAACTTTACTGCCTCCATCCCAATCATCCTCATATGTCTCTTGTATTGTGTTAAACAAGGATCGGGACGCATTCTGCATCGCTGTAAGTAAACAACAAAAAGTTTTATTGAACTGTTCAATCATTTTGCTTGTTTGCTTGCTATAGAGATGATGGAACCCTACAATCAGCTAATCAGAGCTGTAATAGCTTTTGTTTTTTGTCTTTCAACTGATAAAACTTCAGTTCAGGGTATGTATGTGATACATATAACAAGTATAGGACATTCTAGCATGTTGACAAATAAACTGAAAAATGCAAGACATTGGGTGTTCCCACTCTCCTTCATGCAGAAGTTGTCTCATGTGGCTTTTGAGTCTTTAACCAACTGATGACCTTGATATAGTTGTACTGACCAGTTCTCAGGTATTGACATTGATTCAGAACTGGATGCAATGCGACATAAGACAGGTGTAATTCTATTTATGGTAGGGATATAAAAAATATTAATCTCATCCAAGATTGTACAAAAGAGACACAAGTGAATTGCACTTTTTACTACCAATTTTAAGAGTCAGACAGGAGGTGGGGGTAGGGGTGGGTCGGGTGGAGTCAGTTGAGCTTTAAAAGTGAAGAGACCACCATTGCTACAGCTTACTTTTCCAATGTTGATAGTGTGTATAGTCAAGTCAAGTAATCTTTATTCATTGTCAGTACATTTTGTAAACAAACAACCCATTGTAATGCAGTATTAGGACAATATCATAATATAGACAATAAAACCACATGATTGTTTACATTTTTTCATCAAAACATCTGAAATCAGTGTCACACTATGATGAATCACTGACTAATGACACAGCTTGTCAGTGTTTGAATACCAAGCCGGAAATATGCCCTCTGTCCAGATCTTCATAACTCTATGCAACAAGCACCTGTTACCATGAGCTAGTATACCACTTCATAAGTTACTAGACAATTCATACACTTGATGAAGAGCTGTCATGTGATGGGTCATTTGCAAATCCAGGAAATATTAATTTCCATAAAAATGTAATTTTGATTATTAATACCACTCAATTTCATTTTTGTAAATTTTGATGGAATAAGAGAATACATTATTGGTATTGAATCCTGGAAAAGTCTGCTTTTCCTACCAACAGAAATTTTTGATAATTTGTATTTAAAAAGCGCATTGAGAAAAGAGGTTACATTTGCAATAATCTATTTAAATAGTTTGGGGAATCAACATGTCAGTATCTTCTATTTACATTCTATTTACATTCTATTTACATGAAACTTTTCCCTTTTTTTTCTAAACATATCAGGATCTACAGCCCTTTAAATTTTTAAGTGGACAACTACTCATATGTCAGCATAAAACAGACATCAAATATTACACTGCCATATCAAAATGGATCCAGGACAATTCTAGTCTCAACATTTATGTGTTTCTAACAGGTCTTTTTGAAGAGGCAATTATCATCTTATGTTTGTATAAAAATATATCCTCCATATCACTTTCCTTCTTACATTCCAGCTTTGTAACCTTATATTCAATTGATGTAGTAAAACATATATAGTCAACTCTATTTACCTGATATAACAGACACAAAACTTTTATGCATGTATTTTTGAAAGTTCCCATTTTCAAATTAACAATAGTATGGCATTAATATGGTGTTATCTTACTGGTGTCAGTTGTGTTTTAACAGCTCATACACAGCCAACGGCACAAGATATTATAAGAAATTAAAACACTGCTACTTGAAGTTGACTCCCTTAGGAGTGCTGACTGGGTAAAGGCAGTTTTAAAATGAACAAACTTTATTAAACTTACCCATATCAAGTTGGCATTCATTTAATCCATGAAACACATCAATAAAATAAAGGACTACCTGTGTATAATTCATTTGCAAACTGATATTAAATGTTTCACTGACGATTTTGATAAATTGCCTTACATTTTCTGTTATATCAATGAACTTTGGTCAACATTACGGTTACTACATCTTGAGAAAGGGTGCAATTTATATTTCAGTGCAGCTAATATGTGGATTAAATCGAAAACAAGAGTAAAAAATAGGCTCTGCAGCTTACAAACCGGTTTAGTTTATAACCATAACCTAGAAAAAAAAAGTTGGTCTTCAGGAGATGGATTCCTAATGGAGTCCAGTTCCACCATGTACGACCAGACAACATACCGACACAGACATTGGCTGGTTTTATCAACCATCAACTTTAATATTACATTGTGTATGGAGGATCTCTGCAGATACCTTTCACTTTCATCATAAACGTTTTCCGTCAATCATTTTTATGTCTGGAAGGCTGAATGATGACAGCTGTTGGACATTTATTGAAGGAAACCTCAGCATGAAAATTCTGTAGGAGTGTGGGGGAGAGGGGGATGTGTGTGTGTGGTGTTGAATTGGAAATACAGTATTTTCATTTTTAGTGATATTTTTTTCAATCTTCAGGACATTTCCTTATGTACATATGTACGCAGTGTCTAGACTTGTAGCTAAATCTATTGATAGGTTATAGATAAGTACATGAATAAGTTTTTTCTACATCCTAATTTGGAGAGTATGAGCATTTCTGCTCTGTCTCTATCCACTCAACACACTTAAGAAACTCTTTTAACCATTCTTCCTTGTACTTCAGTTTTTTTATTTTTTTTTTTTGGACACTCAATTTGCAACTTTAGTTTGAATTCATCACCTCTTTATCATGTAATGTCTGACCCTCTATCACTGGTGTAATGTCTGACCCACTATCACTGGTGTAATGTCTGACCCTCTACCATGGATGTAATGTCTGACCCTCTATCACTGGTGTAATGTCTGACCCTCTACCATGGGTGTAATGTCTGACCCTCTATCACAGGTGTAATGTCTGACCCTCTATCACTGGTGTAATGTCTGACCCTCTATCACTGGTGTAATGTCTGACCCTCTACCATGGATGTAATGTCTGACCCACTATCACTGGTGTAATGTCTGACCCTCTACCATGGGTGTAATGTCTGACCCTCTACCATGGGTGTAATGTCTGACCCTCTATCACTGGTGTAATGTCTGACCCTCTACCATGGGTGTAATGTCTGACCCTCTATCACAGGTGTAATGTCTGACCCTCTATCACAGGTGTAATGTCTGACCCTCTATCACAGGTGTAATATCTGACCCTCTATCACAGGTGTAATGTCTGACCCTCTATCACTGGTGTAATGTCTGACCCTCTATCACAGGTGTAATGTCTGACCCTCTATCACTGGTGTAATGTCTGACCCTCTATCACAGGTGTAATGTCTGACCCTCTATCACAGGTGTAATGTCTGACCCTCTATCATGGGTGTAATGTCTGACCCTCTATCATGGGTGTAATGTCTGACCCTCTATCACTGGTGTAATGTCTGACCCACTATCACTGGTGTAATGTCTGACCCTCTATCATGGGTGTAATGTCTGACCCTCTATCACTGGTGTAATGTCTGACCCTCTATCATGGGTGTAATGTCTTATAAGAAGTGAAGCTACTAGAGTAAGCCTATTGACTGGAGATGGTGTAAGAGAGATAAAGGTAACACTAAAGACTAGATCCTCTAACCCCATCACCTTCAAACACCATTCCAAGTAAAATGTCGGAAACATAAAAACAAATCACTTTCTGCAGTGAATAAATTTGTCTCTTTATTGCCTTATTTAAGGAAAACAAATTATTTCTATCATTACCTGCCTAATATATTAAATTATACAAAACAAGCAGCATTCCTTAAGTTCTGCTTCATGTTGCCTTCATACATTTTTATTATGAGACATATACTTGGCAAACTGCTACTATAATCTAAAAAGTAATTTTTATAATAAACAAATTTTTGTAAACAGGTATCTTCCATAGCATCTGACCTTTTATATTTTACTTCTGTGGTTGAAACACATGTAAATGTTTCACAGTGACAGCTCAATGTGGATCTGACATCTATCATCTTATCTTTAATTAATATGTACAAATACATGTATTTATATACTTAATAGTGACATCAGCCTTTTGTTTCCATATTTGTCAACATTTAATGTCACTTTTGATATCTGGAGATGTAATTAATCCCGGAATGTTATTCTTCATGAGCTATATACAGTGACTTGGATCAAGTAATATCTTTACCGCATCATTATAATTCAGAACAAATGGAATGACCTCCCTATAATAAGATACAAGATTTGTATAATGAAGAGCTATGCTTCGTCACTTTTGATATTTAATTATTTTTTAGTGACACAGTTGAATGATTTAAACCCAAACTTTCATCAGACTAGGTCAGTCAGAGTGAAGGATTATCCCCCTTTAATCATCGAGCCTTTAACACTTGCCCTATATTATACGATTTATGAATTTCTTTGTGTTGGATTATTAAATTCTGCTAGAAACCCTGTCACCAAAGAAAATAGGATGTATCTCACACCTGACACACTAACCTATCATCTTCATTTGTATTCAGAATACATTCTAGAGGTTTGGTACCTCTTTATCAAATCATTCAGCGAAAAAAAACCCATTATAAACAGTGTTTCAGTGTGTTTGTTTTAATAGATGTATTAGGTACAGTGATACACTGACACAGATTATCATGTGTTTGTATGTATAGGAAATACCTACTTAAATAACATGCAGTGTATATAATAGATATTTACATTCAGGATTTAAGTGAAGTAATATGTATATGTAGTCATGAACCAGTGAACATATTTCAGGATGCGCAAGTTCCCTACAATATTTCTTAAAATTGTTGATTTTCAGAGAATTTAAAGCATGCAAGATTTCAAAAAGTCAGTCAGATCGGTTTATCTTTTTTATAAACCAGAAAACAACTAACTTATAAGGCTAGAATGTCTGTGCCTCTTGGCATTCCAGAATCTGGGAGAATTTGATGTTATAAAATTACGGAGTAGTTACATACTCATGATATATAATGTGTACAAAATCTGATGAGGGGTTACTGAGAACTGGGCTTTGTAAAAAGTATAGTAGGCATTGCCCTTGTTAAGTATTTCATTTTCTTCAGGGCTCAGTAATTTATCCTGGTCAGAAATTGACTGT